TTTTTCTTTCGCTGCAATCACCAGATTGCCAAGCCTGTCCTGTAGGGGCCCCATGTTACCTGGTGCCTTCTTCTTACTCCCTATGTATTTGAAAAAGAACTTTTTGTTATCCTTAATTCTGGTCACCAGCCCTAGTTCCGTCTCTGCCTTGGCCTTCCTAACCACCTCCCTGCAATCTGAGCAACGGATGGGTAATCCTCCTTGGTAATAGCCCCTTGCTTCCACTGATTGTATGCCACCGTTTGTGCCCTCAGGCCCTCCTGGATGCCTTTACTGAGCCAAGGGGGCTTTTTAGCACTATTGTCCCCCCTTTGGCTCGCGTTGGGACTGACTCCCTCTGAGCTCAGAGGATCATCTCCTTAAGGAACAACCACCCGTCCTGGACTCCCATCTCATTGAGGCTCTGAGTCCCCAATGTCTCTCTTACTAATCTCCTTAGCTCATTGAAGTCGGCCCTCCTGAATTCAAGGACTTTTGCCTTACTGCTTGCTTTCACCACCCTGTGCCAGATAGCAAATTCCAGCAGACAATGGTCACTAACGTCTAGGTAGTCGAATACCCGCAGTTCCCTCACCAGGTCATCGCCTGTGGCAAGGACCAAGTCCAGCAAGGCATTTCCTCTGGTGGGATTGTGTACCTCCTGGGTTAGGTGGAGGTCCTGTATGCAGGCTAAAAACCTACATGAGCATTCAGACCTGGCTGACTGATCCTCCCAGCAGATGTCTGGGTAGTTTAGGTCACCCATGACAACCACATCCCTTGTCCTTACAGCCTCCGTGAGCTGACTTGAAAATTCCAGGTCCAGTTCATCCCCGTGGTGAGGTGGTCTGTAGTAGACACCCACTATCAAGTCCCTTTCCCCACGACCCCCTTGCATTCTAACCCAGAGCATCAGTTTGCCCCTCTTCTGAACCCATCCTGATCATCGAGGACGCGTACTTCTCTTTAACATAGAGCTCTACACCCCTCCCTCTATTTTTTCCCTACTCTGTCCCACCTATACTACCTATAGCCCTTGATATCTACTGCACAGTCATGGGTAGAATCCCACCAGATTTCTGTAAGCCCAACCAGGTCTGGGTTCTTGCTAGCTAGCAGGAAGGTTTTTGCATTGCTCTGTTAGACTACATGGTTAGTAGTAGTAGTAGTAGTAAATTATTTTGTCATTCCCCACGACCCCTTGCATTCTAACCCAGAGCATCAGTTTGTCCCTTTTCTGAACCCATCCTGATCATCGAGGATGTGTACTTCTCCTTAACATAGAGTGCTACACCCCTCC